GCCTGCGTGAGGCCGAATGGATGGCAAGCCTAGGCACTGAGGTTATCATGATTCATCCACGCAGGCCTAGGTGCAGACTCACGCCGTACCAGCAACCAGCGCCTGGTCCCGCTGCTAAGGTTATGACACCTGTCCCAGACGGGGAGAGTGTGATAGATGCTGTGCAAGCCTATGGTCACTAGGAACGAATTCATGCATAAGTCACCGTCCCTGCACTCAGCCAGCTAGGAAGCACACGCTGGAAATCTGAGAAGACGATGGGCAAACGCTTAACAAAACACGACTTGGACAATGCTCAAATATGGCCTGTGATTAATGCCGCTCTGATTGAAATTCCTGTGAGCCTACTTTAATTGGGAAGATTACTTGAATGGTTTCCTCAGGCTGGTGAACAGAGAACATATTGTCTAGTTTAATTGTGCTTCATGCCATATTTCTTTGTCTTTTGTCATTTCAAGCACCAATTTTGCCGATTTTTCCCGCGTACGGCAGGTGCGGCTGAAAATAAACCTAGTGACTTGTAAGTGAATTAGTTTTAACAGATAGTAGACTTGCGGGCATCTAACGCACTTCACCTTCTCTGATCCGTTAGGGACCAATGTCAAGATGGACCCAAGAGGACCGCCTGTGGGGTCAGACACAGGTGACTGACAGGACGAAATGAGCATATAAGCGTACCACTGGTTACTACCCTCACAGTCAACGCAACCACTCACGCGGGCGCGTAAAACAGTACAAACTGGCCCATTTTGAAATCATATGCACTCTGAAGTAAAAAAGGAAAAACCTGGAAGACTGGAATGATTATTTTATTTTTACACCGCTCTAGACGTATTCCGTTTTTGTAATAAAAAGGCTGCAAACGTGGGCAACGAGTAGCATTCTGCCGGAAATGTCAAAGGAATGTCAGGATCTGTGGGAAACGTACGACCGCTTGTCAATTATTTAACCTTCTATGAACAATGAAAGTGTGGCTTCCAGGGAGATCTAAAAGACTGAAAAAGGAAAAGTGAGGAAGATTAAATTACAAATAGAAAAAAGTCGTGCAATCTCTTAATGTAATTAAGTCTTTGTTTAGCTGTAAGTGTTTTTCACTGAGTGATATCGAAAAAAGCATGTAACGGTTGTGGACCATTCAAGTGTAGACGAACCAAACTGGTTATGCTGGGGTTGAGACTGGTCACTTCACATAAAGTCAGTGGACTGAAGGCATACTGCTGTCTCAAGGGTTACAAGTAAGAAGCACGCAAATGACTGACTCCATGAATGACCAAAGTATGGTTTCTTTTCAGATTTATGTCCAGCGCCTCCCTCTCTAACTTTGGCGCCCGCGCCATCGACAAGTATGGAGGCAACATTAGCAGCCCTGGTGGTAGCGACGAAAATAAACGCAAGCTGTGGCTCACTGGGGCACACAGGTTCGATTTTAATACCGGCAACACATCTGAACCCAGAGGCGTCTACCGTACTTTTTTCAACAAAATGATTTACATTAGGTCTTTTGTGTTCAAATTACTTCAGAGAAAAATAAGAATTTGCGTGCAGTTTCATTTTCGGCTGTACATGGAAAGTCGTAATGTGATCCCTGTTTCCTGGGCGCCTGTAAACACTATACGAAAGTAGCACAAGCAGCCTACTACGAGCGATGTTATTTCAAGACTAGAAACCAAAGAATGACTCTAAATATCAGAGTATAAAGAGCTTCTTGGTTCAACCCATGCTTATTCTTATTGGCTAACATTTCAAGAAAGATGTTGATAGGACTCCTAAAATATTACAGCAAAAAATACATTTAACTTCTTACTTAAATTACTTGTGCTATCTAATTAAAATTTGAGCCAAATTTCAGAAATAAGATATCAATTACAGCAAATAACTTGAGTAGAGTTTTTATATTCATTATCGGGACGCCTGATCCTAAGCTTTTTTATTCACGCCAGGATGTCCACTTTTGAGTGTTGCAGGCGCTATAAGTGGGACAATAACTTTGTTTGCCTGATGTTTTGAATTCCTTCTCGAATCTATCATCATAGACAGCAGCACGAAGGCGTACCTACTACTGTTTCTGAGAAGGAGTTCAACACATCAGGCCAATAAAGTTGTTATCCCAGCAATTGTATTTACTTCTTCTCAGATACCCTTTCTTCAAGTGTAACCTTTACTGAAGACGTTATTTGCCACGGAGTGAGAACATGAAAGCATATGCTTTATGCATTTTTTCTATTATACATGTTTGCAATTATATGGGCATCGGAAATCAATCGTAAAATGACTATTACGTACGAATTCCTTTTTAAAGGCAATTTTTACGGGTAACACAAAAAACCTTGTTTAAAATTAGGCATACTGACGTGACCAAAATATATTATCATTAAGCTTTAAGTTAATTCATAGGAAAACTCTACTAATTTAGCTTTCTTAGCAATAATAGATTTCATGATTTTCGTCAACATTTCATAGGCAAGCACATCTACTCTATGTTTTAAGTAGTAATGACTCGCGTCATCAAGACTCTACATAGCTATTGAATTGACATTTTATAACGAGTACAAGCATAAAATACTCAAGAAATGGGGTTTACTAATGATCGAACCGTTTTGTCTAAGGACCCCTTGAAGGGTAGAACGGTCTAACTTCGACGTCCACACCCTCGATGTTGTGTCGTTTCGAGGCCAGAATCGCGCTAACATCGGTACC